AATATGCTCACTTAGCATATTAATAAATATAGTCACTTAGCATAAATAAGTCACTTAGCATATTACACTCTAGTTCCATCCACATTATTGCAAATGGCAAGATTTAATTTTTTTTGGTTGTCGAGTAATAACTCCATTGTATATATATATACCACATCTTCATTTTCCATTCATCTGTCAGTGGACATTTGGGCTCTTTCCATACTTTGGCTATTGTCGATAGAGCTGCTATAAACATTGGGGTGCATGTGCCCTTTTGAAACAGCACACCTGTGTTCCTTGGATAAGTACCTAGTACTGTAATTGCTGGATTGTAGGGAAGTTCTATTTTTAACTTTTTGAGGAACCTCCATACTGTTTTCCAGACTCCAATTGCCTAGTTGGTAAAAAAATTATGAAAATTATCTAATGTCATTTATTTATTATTTTCATATAACAAAAGACTTATACATTGTATACATTAATACCTAATTTAAGAATTTAATATATGCATCTTGTATGCATTATTTGCTTTCTTTTAATAATGATGATGATATTGAGCAGTATTCCCATGATAGACATGAGCCCTTTAAATGTTTGTTTATTTTTTTTAGAAAGAGAGAGAGAACACAAGCAGGGAAAGAGCAGAAAGCAAGGAGAGAGAGAATCCCAAGGAAACTGCACTGTCAGCACAGAGCCAGATGTGGGGCTCGAACTCATGAACTGTGAGATCATGACCTGAGCCGAAACAAGAGTCAGATGCTTAACTGACTGAGTCACCCAGGTGCCCCTGTATTTGTTGTTTTTTTAAAAATTAGTGTTCAGAGACTAGTGAGTAAGATTGGGAGAAAGAGTCAAGGTTTAGAAAAGAATGCTTTGACTAGATAATGAAGAAAAGTGCTAGGATATATAAGCAAGAAATACTCTTGATGGTGATTTAATTGTAGACTCTCAGGAACAAATGGGCCTAAACTATTCAGTACTAATTAATACATACTTTGCTATTCTACAGTGCAATTATATAAAGGAACTGTTGAGTAATAACCAGCATTGTTGACAGGGGACTAGTAACAGACTTTTTTGATACATGTCAAAATCTAAAAGAGGAAGAAATTGAGGCTGATGGTCCATGAGAAGACAGGACATCTATTTTAAGAAAGAGACACCATTTTAGTTAAGCTTACAAATATTTGTATGCTATGGGTGGTAATGGCTTTCAACAAACCCTCCCAGAATTTACTCATCTTTTTTGTTGTTGTTAATGTTTATTTTTGAGAGAGACAGAGAGAGTGTGGGAGGGGCAGAGAGAGGAGGATAGAGGATCTGAAGCAGGCTTTGTGCTGACAGTAGAGAACCTGATGTGGGGCTCGAACTCAAGAACCGTGAGAATATGACCTGAGCTGAAGTCAGACACTTAACCAACTTTTTTTAAGATTACTTATTTATTTTGAGAGAGAGAGAGAACGAGCGAGAGCGAACAAGTGAGCATGAGTGCGGGAGGGGCAGAGATAGGGGGAGACAGCCAATCCCAAGCAGGCTCCGTGCTGTCAACACAGAGCCCGGTGCAGGGCTCATGTACCATGAGATCATGACCTGAGCCAAAATCAAGAGTTGGATGCTTAATCACCTGAGCCACCCAGGCACCCCCAGAATTTACCTATCTTAAAGTGTCCTTGGAGAGTAAGACTGTGGTTTCTTTTCCTAGTTAGTAGCCATTCTAATATATGATGTACATAAAATAAATTGTAAAATCTCAATATTGTATAATATAATGATATGTTAAAGTGTACGGTGGCAAGTATAGGTATAGAAGGGTCAGATTTATTCAACAGTGGAATATTGGCTAGAAAGAACTTTGAGGTTTTCTCTTAAATTATTTTATCAAATTATTTTAGGACAAAGTAGACCCTGACTGGGCATTAAAAATATGTTAAGTAATGAGGATGCATGGATGAATAAAACATGCCTCTGGTCCTCAAGGAGCTTGAAATACATTAAGACAGAGAAGTAAATAGACACACTACTACAATTCAATGTGTAAAGTGCTATGATAGTGGTAAATGCAGCATTCTATGGAATCACAAAAAAGGGTACCCAATACAAAGTAAGGAGAGATCATTACTTTCCATGATATGAATCCTCAAGCACTTAGCATAATACTGAGCATATGGTGGTCTTCAAATATTTGATTAATTGGAACCTACTTGATTTAAAAAAAAAAAAAAAGAGCCTGGACTTAATTTTTGCTTAAAGTGAAGTCTTTAAACTATGTATGCCAAAATGTTTTTCTTTATGAATACTTTCATGTTGATTGAGTAATTTCAATGACCATATAAATTAATGGATGTAACTAGTAGTAGACAACAGGATGGATTTCATATTTTAGAAACAGCTGTGCGGCACAGAGCTGGACACATAGTAAATGCTCAACACTAATTATTTAGTTTTTTTTTGTTTTTTGTTTTTTGTTTTTTTTTTTATTTTTGGGACAGAGAGAGACAGAGCATGAACGGGGAGGGGCAGAGAGAGGAGACACAGAATCGGAAACAGGCTCCAGGTTTCTGTTCATCCGCCCAGAAGTTCTGACGCCACCGGGCTCGAACTTCACGGACCGCGAGATCGTGACCTGGCTGAAGTCGGACGCTTAACCGACTGCGCCACCCAGGCGCCCCAATTATTTAGTTTTTTTAAAAAACTTTAGAGTTTATGGGGCACCTGGGTGGCTCAATCGAGCGTCTGACTTCGGCTCAGGTCATGATCTCACGGTTTGTAGTTTGAGCCCCACATCAGGCTCTGTGCTGACAGCTCAGAGCCTGGAGCCTGCTTTGAAATCTGTGTCTTCTTCTCCCTCTCTCTCTGCCCCACACCCACTCATGCTCTGTCTCTCAAGAATGAATAAACGTTATGGGGCGCCTGGGTGGCTCGGTTGGTTAAGCGTCCGACCTCGGCTCAGATCACACATGATCTCACGGTCTTGTGAGTTGACCTCACTCTGTGCTGACCGCTCGAGCCTGGAGCCTGTTTCAGATTCTGTGTCTCCTCTCTCTCTGCCCCTCCCCTGTTCATGCTCTGTCTCTCTCTGTCTCAAAAATAAATAAACATTAAAAAAAAATTAAAAAAAAATGAATAAACGTTAAATTTTTTTTAATAAATAAAATTTCAGACTTTATTCAGTGATTTCTTGTCATTGTAAATGAAAAGATCTCATTCTTTTTTATGGCTCAGTAATATTCCACATATATATATGTATATATATATATATATGTGTGTATATTTGTATCCTTTGAATAAATACCTAGAGGTACAATTGCTGGATTGTAGGATAGTTCTGTTTTTAAATTTTTGAGGAACCTCCATACTTTTTTCCAGAGTGGCTACACCAGTTTGCATTCCCATGGACAGTGTAAGAGGGTTCCTCTTTCTCTACATCCTCACCAACACCTGTTGTTTCCTGTGTTAATTTTAGCCATTCTGACAGGTGTGAGGTGATACCTTATTGTGGTTTTGATTTGTATTTCCCTGATGAGTGATGTTGAGCATCTTCTCTCATGTGTCTGTTAGCCATCTGGATGTCTTTGGAGAAATGTCTATTCATGTCTTCTCATTTTTTAACCAGATTATTTGGGGGGGGGGGGATGTTGAGTTGTATAAGTTCTATATATATTTGGGATACTAACCCTTTATCTGATACATCATTTGCAAATATCTTCTCCCATTCTGAAGGTTGCCTTTTAGTTTTGTTGTTTCCTTCACTTTATAGAAGATTTTTATCTTGATGAAGTCCCAGTTACTTGTTTTTCCTTTTTTTTCCCCTTGCCTTAGGAGACATATCTAGTAAGAAGTTCCTACAGCCTGATGTCAAAGAAGTTACTGCCTGTGTTCTCTAGGATTTTGATGGTTTCTTGTCTCACATTTGTCTTTCATCCATCTTGAATTTATTTTTGTGTGTGGTGTAAGAGAGAGGCCAGTTTCGTCTTTTGCATGTTGCTATTCAGTTTTCCCAGCACCATTTGTTGAAGAGACTGTCTTTTTTCCATTGGATATTCTTTCCTGCTTTGTGGAAGATGAGTTGACCGTATAGTTGTGGATCTATTCAATGATTTCTCTAACCCTACCACCAAACTCTTTAAAGGAGTTTCTTAATTACTAAGATTAATTGTGATGAAATAACATGAAAAGCATGAATCTTGTGCAGTAATAAGTACTATATTAACCAGTGGGAACCCTGAGCAAGTAAAATGAAAGCCATATCCTTGGCATATATGAAGGAAAAATGGCTTCTAAGCCTTATATGTAATACTAGGGACACTTTACATATGATTGGACTTAGAGCTAATCCATATGAAAAATTAGAAGTCGGTACTAAATTCTGTGGTAGTGACTATAAATACAAATGAATTCATTAATTAATTCAGTAAATTTAGGTTTCAACTTTATGATCACCCCACCCTAGGCCCAGAGATACAGACATTTAAAAATGTAGTCTGGGAATGACGCAGGGAAACACAATCGTGGCACAGTGTGATTCAGTGCTATAATAGAAATAAGTACCAAGTACTGTTGGTATACAAAAGAAGAACAGCTAATGGTGCAGAAAAAGAAAAAATTAGTATGAATTAGGTTAGTCATAAGCTTAATTTTTTTAATAAGCAGGCAATGTGCTATCATTTTGTTGTGACTTTGTAACATTTGTTACCTGATATGTTTTTAAGGAACTTGTAGATTATATTTCTGTTATATAAAATGAGATTATATACCCCCAAAGGCTATTTATAAGTCATGTGGTAGTTGAGTTTGCCAGCAGCTTCCCAAATGTCATTATACTATAGTATACCAATTATGAACTATATTCAAACCCAGGTTGACTTAATTCAGTGAAATAAGATATCTACTTTGTCTGCCATTTATTATATCTAACTACTAGGAATCATTAATATGCTATAAACATACAGATGATGAAATTTCCCGTAAATATTAACCAGTTTTGATCCATTTAACAGTCTTTTTTCTTTCTTATTAAGGGTCTACTGTATTTGCTGGTAACAGACCAGGGGTTTCTTACGGAAGAAAAAGTTGTTTGGGAAAGCCTACACAATGTGGATGGTGATGGAAATTTCTGTGACTCAGAATTTCATCTGCGGCCTCCTTCAGATCCTGAAACCGTATACAGAGGACAACAGGATCAGATAGATCAGGTAGATTTGCTTTCTTTTCATATCATTTAAAATGCTCATTCCTTTTGGGGCACCTCGGTAGCTCAGTCATTTAAGCATTCTGACTCTTGGTTTTGGTTCAGGTCATGATCTCCCAGCTTCATGAGTTCGAGCCCTGCATCAGGCTCTGTGCTGAGAGCACAGAGCCTGCTGGGGATTCTCTCTCTCCTCTCTCTGCCCCTCCCCCACTCGTGCTGTCTCTCTCTCTCAAAAGTAAATAAATAAACTTAAAAAAAATTAAAATTCTGCTTTCAAATGTGAATTCAGTTATCCAAAACTTTTGAACTAAAGATTTATTCATTTATATGCTTGTGAAATTTTCCCGACATTTTCTAAATCAGTAAATGATCATTTTACGTGTTGTACATTGACTCTACACTTTGGTTCAGAAGGCCAGTGTATATTGAATTGTGAAGGTCATGGTACAGAGTTTGAATTTTATTTTAATTGTAGGGAAGATATGGCAAGTGTTAAACATGGAAGTAAGATGATCTACCTTTTTTAAAGGCTGCTATGTGAAGAATGCATAGGAATTACACAGGTCTAAATGGAGACTAGCAATTCAAGCGAGAGGTGATGATGGCTGAGCACTGGCGTTAGAGATGAGATGAGTACAGATTTAAGATATATTTGGGTAGTCAGAAAAAGTAGAAAAAAGAGTCTTGAAGATAGCATGCAGTGGGTAAAAAGTAAAACGTATGAAGTCTTAGAGTCCAAGGTAAGCAGACATTTACAACAAGTGCTGCTCAAGTGAGTAGAATTCTCATTAAGAAGTGAGACAGATGAGATCTTTGCCTGCTATAGGTTGGCAGGCTTGGAGCCATAGGAGTGTTTACTATTGGAAGTATAACAGTGATATGACTTCTTCCCTGACTGAGGCAGAAAATTGGTCATGTTGAACAGTTGGCACATGAGTCTAATGCTGATAACATCAGATGCTGATAACAATTTAAGTAGATAAGATAGACTGTTCATTTAGCCAATATTCACTGAGCTGTTGTATTCCTGGTACTATTAACAAGCTCCTGGGGACTCACAGATAAATCATATAGTACAATCCTCACAATTCCATAGTCTAACAGAGGCCGATATTTGACCAATTAACTATTATATGTCATCCTCTATAATGGCAGTTGCACAGAAGAATACTGGATTCAAAGATGCTAATCTTTCTTGGACTTTTGGAAGTTAAGTATCCAAACAGCTATAATAATCAATGTACGCATTTTCCTTCAGAAGCTTTATGGGGCTATTTAAAATATATATATTACTTGAGAAATGTGCAAGATTTTTCTAACACTATATATAAAAAATATCAGAGCAGAGGGAATGAAGGTAAGGCAATAGATTGCTACAGTAGTAAAGATGTAAGATGTGAGAAAAAAGATACATGATACTCTCTGTGGAAATAGCAAGGAAAGAGTGGATTTAAGACCTAGGGACTTGGCAAAGAGCAGTTTGAAGAAGTGAGAAAAATTTGAAGGACAAATTCTTCATATTAGTGAGATATTCATGCTAGATAGTCCAAGGTCTTCACAGATAACCACCTTTTAGATATCCTCTGTGGGTGGTTAATATTCTCTTATTTTGAGGATAGACTGGGAGAGATAAACAGCGTAGTCAAGTTTCATTCAGTACTAATTCTTAATGAATGTGGGTGTTAAGTATTTTTAAGTTTACTCATTTATTATTTCTGAAGGAAAGAGAGAGAGTGTGTGTGTGCACGTGCTCAAGCGGGGAGGGGCAGAGAAAGAGAGAGGGAAACACAGAATCCGAAGCAGGCTCCAGGCTCTGAACTATCAGCAGAGTCGAAGATGGGGCTTGAACTCAAAAACTGTGAGACCATGACTTGAGCTGGTTGGGTGCTTAAGCAACTAAGCCACCCAGGCGCCCCAGATTATACAACTTTCAGCCGAAGATGCATCACTTTTTCTCAGAGGAAATAATTTGGGTGTGTGGGAGATGGGAGGAAAAGGTGTTTAAGTAATTGAATATGCCTGTATGTTGGAAAACTCTTGCCTTTAAAAATCATGTTTTGGAAGACCATTTAATAAATGATTTGGGGAAATTCTTGTTTTAAAAAAAAGTTTTTTGACATTAAATGGGGGTTGGAAGATGTGTTTGAGTTTGTGTGTTAATGTAGAAAAAGCTAGGTGGATATATATCAATTGTTAATAATAGTTATCTTTGCATAATGATATGGCAATTTTAACTTATTTATGCTTTTTTATTTTGTTTCAGTTTTCTGCAGATGTGTTTCTTTCATAAACCGGGCAAGGTTTATTTTATTTTTGTTTGTAGGCTCTATGCCCAACATGGGGCTTGAACTCACAACCCCAAAATCAAGAGTTGCATGCTCTAGACAGAGCCACCCAGGCACCCATAGGGGGAGTTTGGTGAGGGTTTTTTTTTTTTTTTTTTTTTTTGGTTTTGGTTTTTAGGGAATTGGTTTTTTTGTGTTTTTTTTGTTTGTTTGTTTTGCTTTCATTTAAGTAGGTTCCATGCCCATTGCAGAGCCCAGTGCAGGGCTTGAACTCAAGACCCGAGATCAAGAGTTGGCCAAGATCAAAAGTTGGATGCTTAACCCACTGAGCCACCCAGGCACCCCTAGGGGAGTTGTTTTTAAAGCTTTCTTGAATGCTTTATATACTGCTTCTAGAAATAATTTTAAATGAATTCCAAGAATATTTAGAACAATGGCAGCATCACTGAAATTGTAGCTCTCAAACACTTAGATAGCTTTAATTTTTATATTTAAGCTCTGGTATGTTTTTTAAAAGCCATTCTCATAGTTTTGTAGGTACAACTTGTGCATTTACACTTACCAGTTCTTGAGTGAAATCTCATGGCTAAAGAGGTTTATAATTTAATTTCTTAGGACTATCTTATGGCATTATCTCTACAACAAGAACAGCAGAGCCAAGAGATCAACTGGGAACAAATACCCGAAGGAATCAGTGATTTGGAACTAGCAAAGAAACTCCAAGAAGAGGAGGATAGACGGGCTTCTCAATATTACCAGGAACAGGAACAAGCAGCAGCAGCTGCTGCTTCTGCTTCTCCACAGGCCCAGGTAAAAGCTAGGATTCGTGCCAAGATAAGTATTTTAAATTAGGTATTGATTCTTCAATTACATTAGCATGTTAGCACCTGTGGATTTTATGGCATTGTCCTAAGTTTGTGTTTATCTTAATATACTTCTTATTTACTAAAATTATTTTTCCTGAGATTCTGAGGGCAAGATTTTTCAGTTAAAAAATTTAATTCCAGTAGAGTTAATATAGTGTTCTATTAGTTCTAGGTGTACAATTTGGTGATTTAACAATTCTATGCATTACTCAGTGCTCATCAAGCTAAGTGTTCTTTTAATCCCCTTCACCTATTTCCCCCATCCCCCTCTCCTCTGGGAAGCATCTCTGTTCTCTATAGTTAAGAGTATTTTGTTTTGTCTTTGTTTTTCTTTGTTCATTTGTTTTGTTTCTTAAATTCCATGTATGAGTGAAATCATATGGTATTTGTCTTTCTCTGACTTACTTCACTTAGTATTGTACTCTCTACCCCCATCCATGTTATTGCAAATGGTAAGATTTCATTTTTTTTTAATTTTTAAAAAATGTTTATTTTTGAGAGAGAGCATGAGCAGGGAAGGGACAGAGAGGGAGAAACAAAGAATCCAAAGCAGGCTCCAGGCTCTGAGCTGTCAGCACAGAGCCCATTTTGGGGCTCGAATTCATGAACTGCAAGATCATGACCTAAGGCAAAGTTGGACACTTAACCGACTGAGCCACCCAGGCAACCCAAGATTTCATTTTTAAAATGTTTTTATTTATTTTTGAGAGATAGAGCATGAGCTGGGGAGGGGCAGAGAGAGAGGGAGGCACAGAATCTGAAGCAGACTCCAGGCTCTGAGCTGTCAGTACAGTGCCTGATGCGGGACTCAAACTCGTGAACCGTGAGTTCATGACCTGGGCTGAAGTTGGACACTCAATCAACTGAGCCACCCAGGTACTCCCATTTTTTTAATGGGTAATATTCCATTGTATATATCTACCACATTTTTAAAATGTTTATTTTTGAGAAAGACAGTGTGTGAGTGGGGGAGGGGCAGAGAGAGAGGGAGACACAGAATTGGAAGCAGGCTCCAGGTTCTGAGCTGCTAGTTCAGAGCCCAACATGGGGCTCGAACTCATGAGCCATGAGATCATGACCTGAGCCGAAGTCAGATGCTTAGCCCACTGAGCCACCCATGCGCTCCTATGGCACATTTTCTTTGTCCATTCATCTACTGATGGACCCTTAGGTTGCTTCCATAATTTGGCTATTGTAAATAATGCTGCAGTAAACATAGGCATGCATGTATACATTTGAATTACTGTTCTGTACTCATTGGGTCAATACCCCGTAGTGTATTACTGGATCATAGATAGGTTACTTCTATTTTTAATTTTTTGAGGAACCTCCATACTGTTTTCCACGGTGGCTGCACCAATTTTCATTCCCACCAACAGTGCACAAGGGTTCCTTTTTCTCCAAATCCTTGAAAACACTTGTTGTTTCTTATGTTTTTTTAATTTAGCCTTTCTGACAGGTGTGAGGTGATACCTCATTGTGGTTTTGATTTGCATTACCTGATGAGTCGTTGTCATCATCTTTTCATGTGTCTGTTGACCATCTGTTTGTCCTCTTCGGAGAGATCTCTGTTCATGTCTTCTGCCCAGTTTTTAATAGGATCATTTGGATTTTTTGGTGTTGAGTTTTGTAAGTTCTTTATATATTTTGGATACTAACCCTTTATCAGATAAATCACTTATAAATGTCTTTTCCCGTTCAGTAGGTGGTCTTTTAGTTTGATTGCTTCCTTTGCTTTGCAGAAGCTTTCTATTTTGATGTAGTCCCAATAGTTTATTTTTGCTTTTGTTTTCCTTGCCTCAGGAGACATATCTAGAAAGATGTTGTTATGGCAGACAAATTACTTCCTGTGCTCTCTTCTAGTATCTTTATGGTTTCAGGTTTCACATTTAGGTCCTTAATCCATTTTGAGTTTATTTTATGTATGGTGTAAGAAAGTGGTCCAGTTTCATTCTTTTACATGTAGCTGTCCAATTTTCCCAACACCATTTGTTGAAGAGACTTTTTCCTGTTATATATTCTTTCTTCCTTTGTCAAAGATTAGTTGACCATATTAACTGTGGGTTTCTTCCTGGATTTTCTGTTCTGTTCCATTGAGGTATGTGTCTGTTTTTGTGCCAGTATCATACTGTTTTGATTGTTACAGCTTTGTAATATAATTTGAAGTCTAGAATTGTGAAGCTTCCAGTTTTGTTTTTCTTTTTCAAGATTGCTTTGGCTATTTGATGTCTTTTGTGGTTCCATACAAATTTTAGGATTGTTCTAGTTCTGTGAAAAATGGTGTTGGTATGTGATAGGAATTCATTAAATCTGTAGATTGCTTTGGGTAGTACAGACATTTTAACAATATTTATTCTTCCAATTGGTGAGCATGGAATGTCTTTGTTTCTTTGTGTCATCTTCAATGTCTTTCATCAGTGTTTTATAGTTTTAGGAGTATAGGTCTTTCATCTCTTTGGTTAAGTTTATTCCTAGGCATTTTATTATTTTTGCTGCAATTGAATCAAATTTAAATTGTTAATAGCTCCAAAGAATATCAACCAATTGGAACAAAGTCTTCTGTAAAAATTCCAGGGCAGTATGAAGTACTACTGGTAACAGGGTACACTTCAGAGCCAGATAGACATGGATTGCATTTCCTGCTTCTGTATCCCCTTACCAGGGGGATCAAAGTCCCCTACCTCTCTCAGCCTCATTTTCCCTATCTTGAAAATAAAAGATAATGCTTAACTCTTAGATTTCTGTTTAAGGACAAATAAGGCTAGTACTTAAGCCAATGTATGACATGTACTAAGTATTCAACAAAGATTAGCACATTTCCACTTTTCACTTTTCCCAGTTAAACGTTTTAAGCACTGCAAATGTGACTATAAGTGGGTTCCTTTGTGTTAAATCTCATTTTATTGAGATGTATGAAAAATGAGAAAATGAAAGAAATTCTCCTTTTGTTATATTTAACTGTACCATGCCAGAACTGTTCCTCTGACTTAGGATACAAAGAAGATAAGATGCTCTTTAAGGTCTGATGAAATTTTAAACATAGAGGTCTCCATTAAACTAAGTATTTATATTTCTAGTTCAAATATTGATTACTCCAAGGTTAAAATTTAAAACCTGGTATATTTTTACTAGCTCTTCACTAAAAACATTTTCTTATTTCACAGAATACACTTATTTCACACTCAAAGTTCTCAGGATTTTTTTTTTCTCCTTGAAAATCTGTTTATTATAGTATTTGATGAGGTCCTAGGGAACTTAGTTTACCAAAAGTTGTCAATTTCTTTTTTTTTTTTTTCAACGTTTATTTATTTTTGGGACAGAGAGAGACAGAGCATGAACGGGGGAGGAGCAGAGAGAGAGGGAGACACAGAATCGGAAACAGGCTCCAGGCTCTGAGCCATCAGCCCAGAGCCTGATGCGGGGCTCGAACTCACGGACCGCGAGATCGTGACCTGGCTGAAGTCGGACGCTTAACCGACTGCGCCACCCAGGCGCCCCAAAAGTTGACAATTTCTTTAACATAATCTTTAACAAATATTTCTTGAATTTGAGGCTTCAGGGAATATAATCCTCCACATTATTTATTGTTTGAAATTTCTTTTACTTATAATAATTAATACATTAATTAGATCTATCTAAAATGATAGAGGCAGTTACTCAGATACCATATAACAAGTCTGTGACCAAATAACTTTTTTTTATTAATGATTCCTTTCACTCTTATGGTTTTTCTTTCTAGATAACTATGATTAAGCACCTTAGAAAGTTGAGGTAATTTCTTCCTGTTTATTTTTCTTAAAGCAAAGCCAGCCAGCACAAGCCTCTCCATCAAGTGGAAGACAATCTGGGAATAGTGAACGTAAACGAAAGGAACCTCGAGAAAAAGATAAAGAAAAAGAAAAGGACAAAAATAGCTGTGTCATTTTGTAACAAGTGGTGGGTTCTGTTGGATGCGTCTGTAAGTCTTGAGAAACAAAACCACAGGAGGAAAGGAAGAAAAACCGATAAATACCGTCTGTGCCTGATTTCCCAATGGATTTTGTTCATGTTTTTCAGGGGAAAGGTTGTTACTTAGTTACAATCAGACTTTTTCAAGTCACACAGTACACTCTTCGTGAGCTGGAGTTTCGCGTTACAAGTTGGAAATGCTGTGTGGTATCATACATGAAAAATACTGCACTTGTAGCCAAATAAGCAAATCACAGCAAATTTTGTGTCATAGTGACATTCATAACTCATATCAGTTAGTAAGCTGTTTTATCTTTTGTTCTAACAATGAATGGAGGTAACTGATTTTGTCTGATTCCTTCCTGAAATCTAAATATTAGCACAATAGTTTCTGAAATTAATTTTTACAATGTTAAATTATTATCTAATCCAAGAGAAACCAGGGGGTTAATATAGGGATATAAAAGGAAAACACACACACACACACACAGACACACACAATCTCTCTCTCTCACACACACACACACACACACACACACACAAAACACAAGAAACAAACCAAGACAAAAAATAACAAATAAATAACCTTTAATCCTGTATTGGACTAGTTCAGCCCTTGAACAGCTTTACCTTTCTTTAGGAATGTACATTTTAGATACTATCTTGAGAACTGATAATGGAGCTTGGGTTTAATTTAGATAGAAAAAATAAGTTGTTCTTTTCCAATAGCAAAAAAATTACATAACACTAATACTCATATTCTGTAAAATCAGATATTAATGACTTTGTAGTGTTGTGAAATTTTGAGGAATTTTGAAATCTTTAATATATGTAACTTGTACTACAGTTACTATTTATTGAAAGTGCGATAACTGATAAGAAGGAAACCACAGTGGATGCTAGGCCTTGTAAATACAGGAATATAGAAAAGCAGATAGTTCAAATGTCTACCTTTTTCTAGAATTACCTTGAACCTTAAAATTTAAATCATGTTTTTTTGCTAGAAAATTACATATACTTAGTAAAGCCAACAAAAAAGCACATTTCTGAAAGGAAGTTAGAGATATAATCTCTGAGTCTAGTGAAACGCATTAATAAAAATCTGTTTGAAAATAGATAAGAATTGGGAGGAATTTATGTAAAAGCAATCAGACTTTTTTAACTTATGGGAACCAAATAGACCTATAACATCTTGTAGTGTTTATAGGATTCAGAAAGAATATTTATTGAACTTTATTATGAGGCAACACATATTTTCCTGTATTTCTACTATCCTTAATAGTCCTTTTTATATATGCTTTATATTTAAAAGTTTGATTTAGTCATTTTTGAAAAGACTATTGCTGCTGCAGGTAGTTATGTGATTTACATTCTAAGCCTCAGTAAATTTGTTTAGGAGCATCTTTATCTAACCTGAGCATCCACTTGGAGAATGTTTTTTGTGGTCTGGGGTGACAGTAGACTACAAAAAAAAAAAATGTGGTGTAGAGTTCTTAAGCTATGTCTTTAACATTCTCCATGATCCAAGACTATTTATAGGATGAGTCTGTATGTAAAAATAAAAAGTAAAGTCTTATTTATGGAAGGAATTATTCTAAGGGAAAAATCCAGGGTCAAGCTGTATCTTTTATGTCATGTCCTTCTGTATTGCATGTCTGGTTATGTTATACCATTTGTTACTCCTTCAGATTTCCTATACTAGCATGATAAATCATCAGAGAACCTGTTTGGGGTATAACACTTTGATACAAAATATCTGGTGAGTCGTTTGTTAATAACCTAGAATATGTGTACATTGTGAAATAATCAAATTACTACAGAATTCTCTGTTGGCTCAAGCAAGTTGACCTTAGTTCAAGTTTACTCTTGATATCACTCTATTGGTTGGAGGAGGAAAATGAAACCTTAGGGTTTGTTTTTCCTAGAAGAGATAGTAGTGACAGTGCATTATATTTTAATAAGAAAAACAAAACAGTAAATCCTGAGAAATTTTAAAAAGCATATTTGAGGCGTATTTTTCCATAATTATATACTTATCTATTTATTACCCTTGAAAAATATATGTGTAAAAGTTATTCTTCTGTTATTTGTTACTATCTTCTTAATTTGTTCCAAAGATAATACTGCCATTCTGCATTCCCTCTGGAAGGAAAAAAAAAACAAAAAACAAAAAAAAAACTCAAAACCAGCAGTGCTGCTATCAGATAAGTAGATGTCAATGTATACTTATAAAAAATAACTAAAAAATGTAATGTGTTTGTTAATTCAACCTTTTTTCTACATAATATTTCCAAGTCAGACTTTCTTACATTCCTGGAATTCAGTTTGATATACCAAGAGTAATACTGATAAAATGTTTGCTTTGATTACTGTGAGGAAAAAATTAAATGTTCAATTCTATTGAAACAAACTTCTTGGGAGATACTGGTTTCCCAACCTTGAAGGTTAGAGCTATTGTGTCTTTATATTCTTAAATTTTGCTCAAGGCAACAAATTACATATTCAGACATTTCATTGCTGGTTTGGGGATATTGGAATTTGATAGTGGTGTATTACAGGCTTTCCTTCGCAATATTTTGTAGTACTTGAAAACTGTTACATGAACTGCTAGCAGAAGTTAGAACTTAAACATTTTTGTTTTTAATATTTGTAGGCTAGATTAGGGACACATTTGTATCAACCAATCACTATTACAGCTAGCAAAAGAGACATAAATGAATGGATATGGTCACTGCACTTTCTTGTACTTTCAAAGGCTATTTCATAAGTTTAGTGACCAGTCTTTGTTAGCAATATGAAAAGTGTCCTCATGTGTAACCCCAGTGAATCAACAATGCTGTGATTTACAATAGGTTATCAACACTTAGAAGTACGTGTGAGAGAGAGAGAGAGAGAGAATGTGTGTGTGTGTGTGTGTGTGTGTGTGTGTGCGCGTGTGTGTGTGTATGTGAGTGTGTGTGTTTGAAGCAAGGATCCATGACTTCTATTGTCAAAGGAATCTGGGAACCTTCCCTCAAATTTTACCATTTAAGAATACACACACACATAAATAACCTAAGCCGTTTGGGGCAGCTAAAATTGGCATTGGCTGTTTCTTATAATATGCTGGTCCAGTGTGCTTAGGTGAAGTAACTTCTTCCATGTTTCAGGGTATCTGTTGGCTTAACAGTTGAGTGAGGCATAGACTAGAGTTCAGGATTAAGTTGTATAATATATTTTGTTTTAGTCTCTCATATTTCTAGTATTTGACTACTTATCCCATATTATGTTTCAAATTCTTCCTCATACTTCTTAATCTTAGCTTAATTAAGCAAGTTAGTATTAGAGATTAATTGACTGAATCCAACATTAACCATTTTGTACTTGCACAAAAAACCTTAACACTTTGTTTTTACTGAATCACTAGCTCAGGTCATTAAGAGAGATCTTGAGAGAAAAGAGGACTAGAAGGCAAATAGATATCTAAGGAAAGAATTATAGTCCTCATATTAATGTTGGCATATGAAGCTGATATTTATAAAGTCCTGCTGGAGAAATACATTCAAGGCAAAAATTTCCAGAACTGTCCTCAAACTTCATTTATTTAAAAAAAAATTGCTTTAAAGCAAAATGATTACATTTCACTTAATTTCCTATTAAATATTCCAGTTATTTTAAAATACGATAGAGGGGCGCCTGGGTGGCGCAGTCGGTTAAGCGTCCGACTTCAGCCAGGTCACGATCTCGCGGTCCGTGAGTTCGAGCCCCGCGTCGGGCTCTGGGCTGATGGCTCAGAGCCTGGAGCCTGTTTCCGATTCTGTGTCTCCCTCTCTCTCTGCCCCTCCCCCGTTCATGCTCTGTCTCTCTCTGTCCCAAAAATAAATAAAAACGTTGAAAAAAAATAAAATAAAATACGATAGAAAACCTACAGGCTTTGCCCGTCGTACAATATTTGGGCATACAACTTAAACTGTAATTGTAAACTTACTAATGTTTGATAAAATACATGGAGGCATTAAAGATAGTATGTAATTTGTATTTTAAGGAACTAGAAATAGGAATTCTGAACTGTTTTATGTCTAAAAATCTGGCTTTTATCTTTCCATGGACAAACTTTCTATGCCTCAGTTTACTCTAAATATGTAAAGGATGTTCATTTTTTCAGAGCGTTAACACTCCTGAGTAAAGGACAAAGTATAAGCTCAGAGTATTACTTAAATAATCATATATATAGTTTTTGCTCTTGAGTGTGCAGATCTTTTCCCCAATCACAATATTTCTTAAAGTCAGTTTTTTTAATGCTGTTAAATTTGTAAAATTACCTTGTCTTTGAGTATGGCATTATCTCTTCCTAAAATGTATTTTGCAGTTGCTTTTGGACTATACGATCAAAATCAAGAGAATTTGGGGAGTATAAAAAGCATTAAAAGTCTATTTTTTCCATTATCTTTCATATATCTAAGTATTTAGATTCCCTTTGCCTTTTTCTCCATGTAACAAAGCACATTGGTATCAGGTCACTAATACATACATGTAAAACTTTTGTGCATGGATGAGAGTTCCTAGGTTCTCTAGGAATATAATGGCTTTTTGTTTTATTTTATTTTACTGATATTATAGCTACTGAGAAAATCTTATGAAGAATCAGCGTTACTTTTCTCAGGTGACACTTTAAAACAAAGTTTAAAATCGAAGGCTTGTTAGCCAAAAAAATTTACGAAAGAGAGATAATGGAGTCTGAGGGACAGATTGCAGGACCCTGATAATTTTAACTTCTTTTGAAGATTTATCTTAATTTTTTAATTCATGCATGTCTTTTACTTAATCCCAGGGTCTCTGCTGTTAGAAATTAGAGTTTAATACATTGTGATATGCATATGTATTTTTACATAAAGTATTCTAATTTCTAGTTTCACTTTTCTGATCTAAAAACATTAAATTTTAAAAAACTGGGTAAAAGTCTTCCAACTGTTGCTTCAAGTTCGGGTTTGTCCTTTTGTCCTGAGATTTAGACTTCTCTCCCTATAACAGTATTTTTTAGAACATGGTACTATCCCATATAAGGTATTGAAATACCATAGCAGAAATACAAAACCTAAACTTTAAATCACAGTAGATTTAAAAGACAAAAAGAGTTCTATTGTTATTCTGCAGTGCCTGTTCTTTACCTAATATTTTAACTTTAAGAATTTAAGAATTTTTTCAAATAACTTAATAATTTGTCATGAATTTTAAAAACTTTATATCCATCTTAACTACACTACAGAGAGGCAGAGATGCCTCCTACTAAGACGATATACAAAGCAGAATTCTTCTGATGGTGATGCTGGCTTCTTTGGGTCTAGTAGTTACAACTTTAAATAGGAAGTCAGAAAACACAAATTCCCATCTAAATTCCCCTATCAGTGACCTGTCCAAATGGGCATTATAAGTAAAATATCCTATAGAGTGATTCTGACTAGTAGAATATGTTTATAGACTAAGATTGGCATTTAATCTTTGAAGATCTGTCTGATGTGTCTCAATTTTGTCAGTTTTTACTCCTTTTCACATCTTAGTTGTGTGATATAATCATTATTTTCCAGAGTACAGTGGATATCATAGTTCTACAGATTTTTAAAGATGAGGATTTGAAAAACTTCCAATGGTTTTTGTTAAAAGGGATTTTCCTCAATAAAATGACAACTATTGTTTTCACAGATCCACACATCACAAGTAGGACAATATCATAGAAGAATGATGTATGATTGCTCCACAGCAGTCAGCAAAAGGGATAATTGGATAATCTTCACTTGTGAAACTTCAGAAGTACCTGAAAGTCATTTCCTAAAGTTAGTGCATGTGAGTCTTTTTCCTTGAATTGTGCAGAATAATTGGATGTGGCACACATTTTGGGGAATAGGAAGTGAAATGGTATAATGACTGCAGAGCGAGTGATTTTGAAATGTCGCAAGAAGAAACAAGTTTTCTTCCTCCACTTCACTGTCTGACTATTTGGGTCAGGAAGTTGCTATGATATACAGATCTCTTTGTGCTAGGCCAAGATTGGCCAACTGAAATAGAGTTCTCAAAGAGTCTGAATATATAGATTGTGTATGAGCACCTATTTTATCCTTTTCTTTACTATCTTAATGCCCTTTCTACTTCTGAAACAATTCATCCATTTTGCTTCATGACCAGCTTTAATTCCAGTTTGAGAATAATAGCACCCCTAGAAATTGATACAAAACAGCATTGAAATACATTTTTCAAATGATACCTAAAAGCATCTACCCAGCTTAGAATTGAACTGAATTTCTATGAAAGAAAGTTATTGTTTTAAATGCTAATTATGTTAAAACTATTTAATTCTAAAAACTATGTCTTAAACATATTCCAAAAGTTTCACTTTTGGAGGCTATTCCTTTAAAAAGGCATATTGAACATAGATGGGAAAGTGTAAAATATTTCTGATAGAATTATTCAGTATTATTCAACATTTAATTTCATGTTTGTTATTGTACCACAAGGATAGTGTCATTCTTGGATTAAAATGTTGGACCTTTTGTTAATATACTTAAAACTGTAACCAGTGATAACACCCTTAGTATTTTTTATTATAGATTATATTTTATTTCAATAAACTTTGATATTTAGACCAAACAGTCTTTCTGTTATGTATATTCATCTCATTAAGGTACTTCTTACAAAGTGGGGAAATGGAGAGATGGAGAAGTGACATTGATTCATATTCAGAATTGTGAACTCTAGGATTAACTCTTAGAATTGGACCAACTCTTTGTTTTTAATGTTTGTTTATTTTTGAAGGGGAGAGAGAGCACAAGTTGGGGAGGGGCAGAGAGAGAGGGAGACACAGAATCTGAAGCAGGCCCCAGGCTATAAGCTGTCAGCACAGAGCCGGACGTGGGGCTCGAACCCATGAGCTCTGAGATCATGACTTGAGCCAAAGTCAGATGCTTAACCAACTGAGCCACCCAGGCGCCCCATTTTTTTTTTTAATGTTTATTTATTTTTGAAGGAGAGAGACAGAGCATAAGCAGGGGAGGGGCAGAGAGAGGGGGAGACACAGAATCTAATGCAGGCTCCAGGCCCCGAGCTGTCAGCACAGAGTCTGACATGGGGCTCGAACCCACAAGCTGTGAGATCATGACCTGAGCAGATGTCAGATGCTTAATGGACCAACACTTGATAAAGATGGATTTTAACCCAAGAGGCAATGAACAAAAAACCAGTCAACTCTAAACTATAGTCAACTACTGGATCCCAATGGTAGATTCATTATATCTGATACTCTTATCCTTTTGGAAGACTAAGTTAGAAAGAGCTGAGAAGGGATCACTTTATCTTTATACCAAGCCAAACTTACTATGAAATTTTTGTCCAAATCAGCTAATGTCTGCCATTTCTGTGAAAGTTTTCTCAGACACCATAGCCCTTTAAACAGAATTAATCATTACACATAGTGTTTTCTTGACCTCCCCTCATTATAGCAATTAAGCTAGATTGTGAGGCTTTTAAGAACAGGAAGCATGTCTTCCTCATCTTGATTTTCTTGGCACTTTAAATGAATTTGAATATCTATTTAGAGGAATTTTTTAATTCCTTTAATAGTTATTGTTTCCCTGTCCTTTAAATAAGTGAAATAAGTAAGTTGGGTTATTGAATCCATTTTCTCCTATAGCATAAAAGTTCAGCGTGCCTGGGTAGCTCACTCAGTTAAGCATCTGACTCTTGTTTTCAGGTCAGGTCAAAATTTCAGTTTGTGAGATTGAACCCCATGTCAGCTCCACGCTGAGAACATGGAGTCTGTTTGGGATTCTTTCTCTCCCTCTGTCTGTCCCTCTCCTGCTCTCTTTCTCAAAATAAATAAATAAACTTAAAAAAAATTATGGGGGTGCCTGGGTGGCTCAGTTGGTTAACCATCTGATTCTTGGTTTTGTCTCAGGTCATGATCTCACATTTTGTGAGATTGAGCACCGTGTCAGGCTTTGCAGTGACAGCGCAGAGCCTGCTTGGTATCTGTCTGTCCTTCTCTCTCTGCCCCTCTCCAACTTGTTCTCCCTCTCTCTCTCTCTTAAAAAATAAATAAATAAATAAACATTAAAAAAATAAAAGTTATGTAGATAGAGGGAACTAAAATTCCTATTCCTTTATTCCTGCCTCTGATTTTCCTTGGGCATCATCCTGTATCCTCCCAGAGTTGATGAAAGAACACTTCCAACAAAACTAGAGTAAGCAGCATTGTCCTTTCCTGTCTCATATCTTTCCTTGCAGGGTCTCTTTTTCACTTTATATTATCCGATGAAGTACGCACCTATTAATTTTTGGAGCTGAGATTTGAAACCAAGCAGTTTGACTCCAGAGGCTGTGCTCACAAATATATCTGAAAGGGGACATATAGGTCTAGGCCAGATCTGTGTTCAAATTCTGACCCTGGACTTTTTAAGTCATATCTGTCTCAAGCCTGCAGAACTTTGCAAAATCAGGCCTATTGGTCTTTTTTAAAAGTACCCACTAATCTTAGAGCAAATTAATACTACACAGCCTGTTTTCTACACTAAAATGTCATAATTTATACCTTGTTATAAAGTTTAAAAATAATGCATATAAAATGTGATATACATAACAAAATAAATTTTAACAGATTAGTACTAATAGACTAGGGAAAACTTTTTTTTTTTTTTTTTT